CTGTAATCCTCAGGTCACCTAGGTTATTAACCGAAGTACATCAAAATAAATGAAAAACTAAAATGAAACTAACAAGTTATTGAAAAACAATAATCATAATCATTGATTTTTTCGTAATCATTACGTTCTCACCCTGCGTGGCTGTGTGGCAGTTTAGGGAAATACCTGTAAATGGTGCATCATGCACATGAGGTTATCTGACGGAGAGACACAAAGCAGTTTTAAGGCTGAATCCTGCACGGGTCCTGTTTGGTAAACCCGCACCAGCAGTAACATTAGGCTACTTAACAGAACACCCGACACGTTATCCGACAGCAGCACTATTTTAATTCTGTACCCGACCCGTTTGACATAAAGACCGCGACCTGAACCGCACCCGCATTAAATCTACTGCATCAGTACGGCAAAATTATTTATTTTCTCATGTAACACAAGCAATCAAACCAAAATTACACTAAAGAGTGTGTTCTTCTGTGCTTAGACTGAGAGCGAGACAGAAACTGAAAACCCACAGAAAGACAAAGAGTGTGCTGCAAAGTTACTGCTGTAGAGAATCATTTTAAGATAACCAAAGGAAAACTGGCCTCAGTGAGTGTGAGACTGCTGAAGATAACACCAAGGTTATTATAGTTTTGCATTTTTAAATTAGTTTTATTTTAATATCGTTTTCAAATTTGCAACAAAATTTTGTTTCATTTTTATTAGTTTCATTAAGAGTTTTGTTAGTTTAGTTTTTATTTTGTAAACACATTTCTATTTAGTTTTTATATAGTTTAGTTTCAGTTTTAGTTTTATAATTAAAGTTTAGCATAATTAAATGATCACTTCCAGAGCGCTGACCAAAGAAAGACTTCATTTAACCTTAGTGACACAATTAAATCATGCTGAGATTGATTAGGGTAAAAGTATACAAATATACGCCAAAATGAAGCAGTCAAGTCATTTTACTCCATAAATCTACACAAGTTGTGCTTATATTATCATAATTAAAATCAATAAATGTTTGTTGGGATATTTAATTCGAAAATTAATGTAATTTGTTTATATAAGATATCTTTTATCTTATTTAACCATAATCATGATACTGTAGCCTGTCGTGTCTTGCTTACTTTTGCGCATAAATCATAACTGGGACTAATGAAATTTAATAATAATGGTGGAGCCTCAACATTCGATTCGCAGCGTTGCGCATCATTGGATTTGCGCTGCAGCTGAAGTGAATGACAGCTTGGGAGCGCTCGTTGCTCGCTTTCTGTAGCCTATATAATGTTATTTTATATGTTTTAATGCTTCTATAAAGAACCAACGGCCACATATATGCTGCAGAGTTTAAGGAGAGACAATCGCATTTAACAGTAAAGGCATAGGCTATTTAAATGTTCTTTTCATTTATGAAGAATTATAAGCATGTAGTTTATGCATATTTGTTCAAAATAGCCTGGCAGATTGTTCAAAAGATGTAGGCAAAGGTTTTGTTTTGTTTACAGAAAGGATGCTCGTTCTCAACTTTTTTGCTTCTGCTTCTTGTCTATTTTTCTTCAACGCACCAACTGAGAATGCCTAATTTTGGTTTGATTGCTTGTGTTACATGAGAAAATAAATAATTTTGCCGTACTGATGCAGTAGATTTAATGCGGGTGCGGTTCAGGTCGCGGTCTTTATGTCAAACGGGTCGGGTACAGAATTAAAATAGTGCTGCTGTCAGATAACGTGTCGGGTGTTCTGTTAAGTAGCCTAATGTTACTGCTGGTGCAGGTTTACCAAACAGGACCCGTGCAGGATTCAGCTTTAAACTGCTTTGTGTCTCTCCGTCAGATAACCTCACGTGCATGATGCACCATTTACAGGTATTTCCCTAAACTGCCACACAGCTCGTATATTTTTCCGCCACAGGGTGAGAACGTAATAATTACGAAAACGATTATGTAATATGATAATTATTATTTTATTTCAGTTAGTTTTTCAATAATTGTTGTTAGTTTCGTTTTAGTTTTTCATTTATTTTGATGTTTTTATTTTATTTCAGTTTACGAAAATGTTTTTTGATCGATCGTTTTCGTCTTAGTTTTCGTTTACGAAAATAACCTTGATCCAAACACACCAAACACATCATAAAAGCAGCCAAAACAACTGGCACAGTTCTCTAAGTTATACAATAGATTTGTTTAATGAATGGACCAAACTTTAAGTGATTACTTCACTGATAATCCTCTCTGTGGAGAAGCGATCGGCACAAAAGAATCACTGAGTCAAAATTGACAGGGCTCGTTTCCCAAAGCAAGTCCGGTCGCAAGTAATGTCGTTATAGTTCAATGTAATTTAACAAACACAGTTCGCTAACGATGCTTTTGGGAAGCACACCTCAGATCTATCAAGTTTGTGAACCATTCACACTGGTTTCTTTAAACTAAAGAAATTATTCATTTAAAAGATTGACTCAAAAGAATCATCTGTTCACAAATCGGATCATGAACTCGCATTACCGCGCCAAAGATAATCTATTCTTGAACATTTCGAATGAATAAAGACTTCAAGTTCATCTGTAAAGCACACCAATTCTAGGAGAATTTGGTGTCAATTTTCAATTAAATTCTTAGAAATATTAAAAGTAATGATAACCATTCCACACTTAAAAATATGAGAAAATAGAAAAACAAGAGCTACTGGCTAAAATTTTTCCAAGAACAACTTCCCTCAAGATGCTTTTTCAGATTAGACGTTGAATCCTTCGATGCTGATAGAAGTTTTGTCGCAGGTAACTTGGGCTTAGATTGCACTGCACTGAGATGTTACGTCCTTTTTCAGATTTATAAGTAAAATAGTCTTTGTATTTCCACGAGAGAAATGCATTACAGGAATGGCTTTCTGTTGTGTCGTCTATTTTTGTCGTGATGATGAGCGTATGCACTCTCACTACGAGTTGAACAGGCTGCTGCACGCGTTTTTTTTTTTTCAACAGAGAATCAGTTGCCTTATTGGTTAAAATCCCCAAACTTAAATAAATATTAAATTAAGAAATTACATTAACCCTCTTAGCGCCAAAGTCGCAAAATTGCGACAAGACGTCATACTTAATCAAATAGACTGTAGTTCCTAATATGGTGTAATATCTCATTTGTATTCCCTACCACTAGATGGCAGACATGTAGTACTTCGATTCTAGACCAAAATTACGTCACCTTCCTATTCAAAGTGTTTGAGAAAATAGCAGAGCAAATGCGCTTTCGTGGCATTGATGCGGAAGCAGTTCAGATCTATAGCGTGCGGGTAAGCTGTGAGATTTGTGAGAGAAAATCACCAAATCTAAAATACTTTTCGGATGTAACTGTAATTTGATTACCACCTATTTAAAATGTAATTATAGCGAAATACAGTTACTCATATTTTGTATTTTAAATACGTAACGCCGTTATATGTATTTCATTACTCCCCAGCCCTGACAAAGACTGAGAGTGAGTGTGTGGATTAAACAGTGCAGTAGATGGGAACAGGTGTGCTGACAGTCAGTTGAGGTACGGGGATTATGGGAAATGTAGTCTGAGGTGAGAGTGTCAGTACTCGGCTGATGGAGGCTCTGGTGGTGAGCGGGAGGAACTACTGATGAAAACTAAACCAGACCAAACTGCAACATGTTTAAGATTTAGTTACATTTAGGTGTTAAAATAACATCATATGGACATTGGAATAAGACGGTTAAAAAACATCATGACACAACCAAAATACAACCAGGTCAAATCGCCCTTTTTTTAAAGAAAATAACATAATTATGAAAAAGAAGACATGTTTGGAACAGCACGAGTGTGAGGAAACAATGACAGATTTCTCTTAATTACATCATTATATCCCTTCTTAGATTTGGTGAATAAATACAAAGAATACATAAATATATTTGTGTATTATAAATTATTACATATGTTAATATCGACTGATCTATACAATTAGGAAATAGATTTTTTTTTAATTACTATAAAATGTTTTGATTTTATAATATAATGTAAGATGAAAAATATGAAAAAGTGCTGTTAATAAGCTGAATATTTAAATTTACATGAGTAATGCAGCCTATATCATATAATTTGAACAACTGATAAATTGCTATCAATAAATATAAAAAGACATAACTTCATTTGTTTCCTTTCTCTCACTATAACATTTCATATTGTTTTATATTAAAGCCATTTAACTTTGAAAGATAATGCGGTAATGCAAACATTTTGCTGACAGCATGTGAACTATTAGCTTGAACGTGGTGAGTCCTTAAAACATCGTAAGGAGAGCAGTCGACGCGATAAAAACATCATAACTACATTTCTTGTTTCTTGCATTGTGAAAAAGCGTAGTTATAATGTGAAAAACCCAACATCTATTATATTAAGTACATTGGTTAAAAACATTATCACAACTTATTTACGGTGAGAAACAAAAAACTTCTGTGTGTGCATGACAGAATGTATATTGTAAATGTGTTTATCTCTCAGTTTGCGTCTGTCAGAGTTTCCTGTGAAACTGAGCTTCAGCTGCATATTGATCATTTACTGCATTTGACCCAGGTGTTGATTTCATGCTCTGGTTTGAGACTCAAACACGCGTCTCACCGCTGGAGTTTCTTCAAGCTCTTGTGAAGTGCAGGAAGAAATGTTACTGCTGCAGAATCTCTGTGCTTTAGATCAGTTCAGTCTCTGAGAAACCAAACAAGACCAGCGAGAAAATCCTGAGCAGATTCAGAGATTTCTTTTGCGTTCTCTTGTTATTTGCTGTGAGATTTAGTTGTCAGTAAAAGACAGAGTCTGAAAGTGTGTGAGAGCTGGCAACCCTGATGCTGGTGCTAGCACTTTGCTAGCATTAGAATATTGCTAGCCTGTTTAAAGCATGGTTTAACATGTTGCTTTATCTTAATAATCTTGTTTTCACAGTCATGAGAATATAATTTGATTAATCACACTCCACTCTCTGTGTGTCTGTGTGTTTTCTGACTGAATGTGACTCTGTGTGTTTTCTAGTGTGGATCATGGAGGAGAATCCAGGATTACAGCAGGACTAAAGAAATGTACGTCTACAAACACACACACCTTTTGAAAAAACCAGCATATGCTGGTTAGGAATGTTTTGACGCTGGGATGCTGGTTTATGCTGGTCATTTGCTGGTTTATGCTGGTCCTTTGCCAGCACATGACCACCATAAACCAGCAAAGGACCAGCTTAAACCAGCAAAGGACCAGCTTAAACCAGCAAAGGACCAGCTTAAACCAGCAAAGGACCAGCTTAAACCAGCAAAGGACCAGCTTAAACCAGCAAAGGACCAGCTTAAACCAGCAAAGGACCAGCATAAACCAGCAAATGACCAGCATAAACCAGCATCCCAGCGTCAAAACATTCCTAACCAGCATATGCTGGTTTTTTCAACAGGGCACTCACTCACTTTCACTCTCACTCTCACACACGCACGCACGCCACACACACACACACACTCACTCACTCACTCACTTTCACTTTCACTTTCACTTTCACTCTCACTCTCACTCTCACTCTCACTCTCACACACACACTCGCTCACTCACTCACTCACTCACACACACACACACACACACACACACACACACACACACACACACACTCTCACTCACTCACACACACGCGCCACACTTACTCACTCACTCACTCTCACACACACACACACACACACACAC